TTTTGTATGGCTCGTCACAGTTTCCAAAACCCTCCTCCCCCCTAAAAGTGTGACATAATTAATGGACGATCCCTTATCATAGAGGTAACTCTAAGATCAGAAGGTCCCGAAGAAACGTGCTCAACTTTTTGGCTCAGCTCTGGTATTATCTTCGGCCCCAAGCTAATCGATTCACCCCTCGAAACATAGGAAAATCCAAATTTCATAGCGAATCAAAACAAACATAGTGTAGTACTAGAATTTTGACTAGAATGGGGTACGTAAATCGATTTGCTTGGGACCAATAGGCTAGTCAAGTAGTGAGCCAATTTAAAATCGTTAGTTTCCGCCGGTTGTTAATACCACCGACAAACCGACATGGAACTTAAACTTAACTCTTGATCGAGAATCCATAACGGCCAATTCAAATGTGCAGCGATCCCATCTGTCAAAACCATAGAAATGTTTTTATCTAGATAAAAATAATTTGTCCGAAATAGATTAGACACGAACCAACTCACTACTTAACTAGCCTACTGGTCCCAAGCAAATCGATTAACGTAAACCATTCCAGTCGAAATTCTAGTACTACACTATGTTTGTTTTGATTCGCTATGAAAGTTTGACAGATAAAATCAGGGGCTCATGGATTTTCCTTTGTTTCGAGGGGTGCATCGATTAGCTTGGGACCGAAGAGAGTACCAGAGCTGAGCCAAAAAGTTGAGCACGTTTCTTCGGGACCTTCTGGTCTTAGAGTTACCTCTATGGTAGAATCCAACGCTGATTTGAGAAGTGGTATGTTGTTCTAAAAAAGCAACTCAAAATGGTAACCTCGAATAGCTTTGGAATTCAAACAACAAGCGCGTGGAATCGACCGGAACAGGTAACAATCACTACTAGATGTTGTCCTACCAGTAATCGACGATGAGAAGAAAGGATTCTGGAAAAAAAAATTGCCAGATAAAGAAAGCTTCGATGGCGATTAAGATTGCTAGGATATTGTAGAATCTCTTCGAATCGCTTGAATTTAATAAAGAATTGTTCATTTAGTTTGTTTGCAATGTAATTAAAAACAATTTAAAACAAAAATTTGCAGAAAGAAAAGCTTAATAATACCTTTTGCCTCACGAGCCTGTTATGCGTTTATTTGTAACGTGGGACAGACCAAGTTTGATATTTTTTCACAATTTCTAGAAAAAAAAACATAGGGGAAATGCATGTAATGTCGGCCTAAAAGCCCCTAATTTGGGCCCATACATAAATTCAGCAATCGACTAAATTTTCAATAGTGACCAAAAATATCCATTAGTATCATCCCAATGACGTGTTCATTTATATTGATAAATAGCAGATTTTTTAGCGATGGGCCCAATCTTAGATCCATAGGCCAACATTAGAGTCATTTCCCCTAGTATACTCTTTTGAGTCATGAAAGTATATGTAATTAACAGTTGTTCCACGGGCTTATCTCAAAAGTAATGAAAAACCACATGAGACTGTTATGCGTTTATGGGCAGCATAGAAGAGTGTCTATTAATGTTGAAACTTAAATAAGAAAAAATATCGTACAAAATAAATCATTATTTTAAGCACTGTACTATAGCAGCAGTAGGAGCACCTAAGGCTAAAATGAATGTAAATAGTAATGAATTTGGAAAAAAAAGAGTTAATTAAAAAAATCCCTCTCAAATCTAACACGGCCACATTTTGCAGTTTTTGACGACTGTCCACTGTGTAGCAACCGGTTGTTTCTTCAAAATAAGTCCCATCAAGATTAGCAGACTTTTAATGATGTCACCTCGGGGCAAATATCTCTTGACAAACATTTGGTAGATTTCCCAACTCATTTCGGTGCTAAAAAAATACAGCTGTTATACATGTGACAGTTTCAGAAATTCAAAGATAAGTAATTATTACGTTGGATAATTTGAAAATCCATCTTAATTCCACTTATCTAGATTAGGTTATGTAACGTTCACTGTGACTAACTCTAGCTAGAATTGAACTTTGTTCAGGGTGTGGCAATTCGGTGATGGCGAAAGTTCAAACTACAGCGATCGGTTCTCGTCAACAGATTTGGCTTTGATTTCCGAATTTAGGCGATTTTCAGTCGTAGGGTTCATATCATGCTTTGGATCACCACGCCCATTTGAAAATTCTTCATAACGTGCTGTTTTCAACTGACTTGAACGCGAATTGAACGTGTAAACCATGCCATTCAACTGACTTGATCAACTCACTTGAATTGAAAAAAGTTGAACCAGGCTCAACTTTTCAAGCCAATTGAATTCAACTGAGTTGATCATTTGACTTGCCTAGTCTAAACCCAGCTTAAGGTTCACCCGGGCAAGTCTAAACGGAAGGTGTATCTTTATCGAAAGTGAATACTCACTGTGATTATTTCTAATCTAGCGCTGGTGAAGTAAAAAGTCAATAGGTTTGTTCCCGTACTTGCTTTTTTGCTCTTGTTGTAAGTTGCTGCAGGAAAATAAAACAGGAATCCCATGTTTGCGCGGTGAGTGGTGCCATCTACCCAAAGCCTTTTCTCAACAGTCTTCCAAAGAATTGAGCAAACTTTTTGTGAATGTCAAGTTTGTGGTTGCCCCTAATCACTTACAAAAAATCAACTGAATTGGTTGAACGATTGCTGAGAAATTGCGATGGGTAGACGGCACCACCCACCGCGCAAACATGGGATTCCTGTTTTGTTTTCTACAGTAGCTTACAGTAAAAGCAAAAAACAAGTACGGGAACAAACCTAATGCAGATTGGATGTTTTAAAAAGTCCAACTAGATTTGGTTGTGAAATCGTAACCCGTGAAACATACTGAAGAGAAAAAATAATATGTTCGACGATCATTGTAAAAGGTCCAATGCTCATTGATCGATGTTCCGGTAAGCTCCAAATCGGATTAACTTTTAATACCGTCCACACATCCGCACGGTCAATCAGAACGACTCAGCGGCTGAATTCAATTGATTCAGACCATTTTCTTTCCATACGAAATTTACTCATATTTGGGAAAACGTGCAGGTACTCATAGATAATGAGTAACAGCAGGTTTTCCCAAATATGAGTAAATTTCGCATGGAAAGAAAATGCTCTGAGTCAATTGAATTCAGTCGCTGAGTCGTTCTGATTGGCCGTGCATGCGAGCACATTCACTCCTATTCTGCGAGTCTTGTGAATCTCTGTCACTAGTGAGATGTGACGTGACTCTCCGTGCTAATCAAATGAAAAGAGTCGCATCAAACGACTTGGAGAATAGGTAATTATTGATATAAGGAATGAATTTAATGTGTTCAAAACGATACTTAACTCTTCGAACACGATTCCTCCGGTAAAATTTTGTAACGGCAAACTTTCAATGTTCGCAAAATCATAGCTTTGTCATTTGTTGACCAATTTCGGATCTGTTGATTCCATTTGAAACTATAGGCTTTACATATTTATTCGGTTTAAATAAATTTAAAATCTATCGATAAATTGCTGAGTAACGATTTTTCAAAACATTGTCAATTTGCCGTCACACATTTTACCGAGGGCATCGTGTTCGGGGTGTTAAAGTATTTCAGTTGTAATTTAAGGTACCGAACTAAAATTGAATGTATTCGAAGTAATCAGGTATCAGGTAGATAGCAAATAGTAAGTAATGGATCAAAAGAATCAGATAATATCCAGCACCTAGCGATCCAAAGTTAATGAAATCTCGTAACAACCATCAAATGAATAATGATTTTAAAAGTTTGAAAGGTTTCGTACCTTCCTGAAGATGTATGGGAGGGAGAGAAATTTAAAAAATCTTAAAGTATTTTCGCTTTAATTTGGCTTTTGCTACCGGTGGCTGTAAATTTTCAAAATCAAGGAACATTTTTGATGAAAATGAGAAACGCAGCTATCCGCTATCAAAGCGGACCTCTTTCGAATGGGTGATATCAGTTGCTTAGTCATTTGACGAAGGCATGGATCATTCTCATTTGAGAAACGCTTGATATCATTTAATAGAGTGTAACCTACACATAAATGGAGCTCTGGTCGACATTCCGGCGAAAAAGCTAAGCCAATCCGACACTAACCTGACTTCTACCAAACCCAACCCGACATTGACCCAAAATTGACCCGACAACAACACGACATTGGGTCGACATCGACCTTGAATTTGCCTTACATTGATCCGACATCGAGTTCGGGACCGTTTTGCTGGGTTTCTTCCATACTCCACTGTCGTAAATCAAATGATAGTGAGTGACTCAATTGACAGTGACGATGAGCTTCGAATGAGAAAGGGGCTCTTCAAATTATGGTCATGTGAGAATTCGTTTTCACAGAATTGAATGAATGGTTGTATTGGTTCATCTTCAATCGAATGATATGAAAATTAACAGCACTGAACGGGGGACAAAGGTTAAACTCTTTCCATGTAAGAAAAAAACTGTATAATTCGAGTTAAATATCGAAATAATCATCACATCATCAATATGTAGTAAATTACCTACAAAGTAAGTTTAACTCAATATCTTTCAAATGACCATTAGATAATGAAAATTGGACGTAAAATGGCAGAAAAATTGGTATGAACAAAAGACATCGGGAGTGTAACTTACTTCAGCCTTTCTCTGACAACTATCGATCGTAAATTTGTCCGTGGTCAACATTTGACTACGGTAATCTGGATTTTTAAAATAAATATTCAAAGAGTCCGGACGTTTAGTGTGGTTCTTATTTTCGCCACTAGGAGTTAACTTTGGATCGCTAACAGACGTGTCATTATCAATGGAAAAGAAAGTTGATGAAGACAATCCACCTTAAACATTGTTCGACAGGGTATTTCCACCAACAGCTGTTTCTAGAAGCTTCGCTGGCTTGCCAAGTCTACCCATTTATTTACACAAAATGATAACATTCATTGCAAACCAAATACAACTAGCCTATTGTATCTTGACGTGAAAAAAAAACTTCTAATAAAAAAAAATACCTTCAAATGATCACCTGTATATAACTAGTTTGATTCTACACTTACCGGTCATGATTGTTGAGTTATTTACACAATGGCACACTTCGAGAAACGATAATAGTCGAGACACCGCCGGGTAATGTTGTTCACACAAAATGTATCCTCCAACTGTTGCTCTCGTGTCTAGCAGGTTCCGCTAAAATCTACACGTCGGTGCAAAATAAGGTAGATGGGGAGGTGTTATTTCTGTCTTTATCTTATACCGCACAAGTCTGATATCGTTTATGTGTTTTCAATATCTAAGTAAATGGATGCAGATAAGTGTTATCAGCCGGTTTCTCGGTCAGCTCACAATATACCTAAATAGGGTGTGCCAAGACTGCAACCCCCCACTCCTATTTCGAGTCGACTTTTGTGAAAACTAGTAATCCTATATTACAGAGATACGCGGAAATATTATCAGTTTATTTGGCAACGTGATTTCTCGTGTAACTTTTCAAAAGGCCCTAAGTAACAAATATAAACAAATCGAGGTACTCGATGCAAACTATTGCTCTTCTATTATTCCAAATTTACTTTCATTTATTTCAAAAATTGTCCAATGTACAGATTGAAATGATCCGTACGTGATTGTTACTTCGGACATTTGGACTGCCTAACATGATTGGTGCTCGTTTTCTAAAGGCGGGGCATGGAAAACCAATCTAAGGTTATTTACTCTATTCTGCAATCTGTGAAAGGGAATATTTTGTTTTAACTCTTTATTTGCTCCAAATTCAAAATAAATTACATTTCATTTTAACCTAGGTCCTCCAGTTACTACAGTAACTTACCAGCCTTAATTGTTATGATATATATCTTTATTGTTTTTACATTGTTCCTGCCTTGGAAATTCAGTATTTTAAACAGGTTTTTTAAACCTGCATGTCAGTATAACAATTGAAATCTTAAAACTTAATTATTAATTATTTTGTTGAAAATTTGTTCTACACTCAAAAAATTTCACACGTTTGATCGAAGTGTTTAAACAATTGATTTTCTAAATGCACAATCACATTTACTTTAAGTGTATTTCACCTTGGTTCAATGTGTTATACACGTTAATTTATAGTGTTTCAAACTTTGAAATGTTGAAAATCTTTCACTATCTATTCAAGTGTATTGCACATTGAATCACGTTACTGTTCAAAACAGATGGATTTAAAGTGTTTTGCATTTCAATACGATGTGAATTGCTTGCTCAGAAAGGTAAACATCGAATACCAGACTTGTGACTTTATTCTATCAACCCGCCTCATATATGAGAACAACCGTGGCACAGTGAGATCGAACGAAGACTCCGGCAGCAGCATACCCCAACAGTCTATGATCGAATCCCAAATCAGACCCATTAAAAATATATGTGAAAGCTCTGGCCTCTGGCAGTTTTGTTTATATATTTGTCGATTCATTTTTAGAGTCGGTAAAGTAGAATTCGATAAAGTAGAATATTGTAGAATATTGAACTATGGTGTGCAAAGCTATTGATATCACCATATGAGGCACATAGAATCCAAGTGTGTCACAATTCAAATCCATAGTGTTCAGGCATGGTTCATAGCATAAGATTCACACATGAAATGGATGTGATTCACAATATGCGCAAAATTAAGTGTGAGACACATGATGATGACGTGTGGAATTTTTTGAGTGTACAGTCTCAACATTCGAATTTCTATGTACCTCGGTACACTGAAACAAATCGACATGTACGGTTTATTGGATCTATCTTGTACCATACCAATGTCAGAAGATTTATTCATTCTATGTGATGATTCCATTGGATTATCAGTTAAAAACTATGACTGCGATATGGAATGATTTCTATCGTAATTTCACATACTTAGTACATGATATTCCTTTGCTTCGGACGAGGTAAGCGATGGGTAAGATGTACAGGGTGCGTGACGAATTTTTGCAGTAAATTTCAAATAGTAATTTCTCATGCTTGTGCATCATGATTTAGATATATTTGGCAGCACTGGATAGCTTATACTGTTAGGTGTAAGATTTAAACAAACAATGTTGAGTAAACGTAAAGATGTCGAAACAAGAGAGCAATCTGTCAGCCGTTGTCGCTTTGTTGCGCGCCGGAGTATGCATGAAAGAAATAATTCGGTCGGTAAATGTGTCTGAAAGAACAGTGTATAATATTAAAAAAGGCTTGGGAAAGTGATAAGACGGAGCACCTGCTCATACTGCTAATAAAGCACAGAAATGGCTTACGGAAAATATTTCGTAAATTTGGGAGGAAGAAATTTGGCCCCCAAGCAGTCCCGATATCAATCCGTTGGATTATTTTGTATAGGGCGTCGTCCAACGGGATACCAATAGAACCCCTCACACCACACTTAAGTCGCTAAAAGCTAAAATCAAGGTAGTGATGACATCTATGGATCGAAACATTTTAAAACGTGCATACTGCAGTTTCCGGAAGCGTCTAACTACAGTCGTCGAAAGGGAAGGCAATTTTTTTGAATAAATTTACTTAAAACTTCCATATGTTGCGAAAGAAAATAAATCGCACAAAATTCATTGCTAGAATAACTAACTGGTGTATTTTTTTCTCAAATATGCCATTTACTGCAAAAATTCGTCACGCACCCTGTATATGAATATTGTCTGATATATTTTATAGTGAAACCCTGTTGATAAAGGGTGATACGGTCAAAATTTGGTCAATATCAACTTGACGTATTTCTTTCAATTTTGCATTTAAAAAACCTGAACACCCCTCATTTTGAAGGTGTGTGTGTGTAGAATGTTGCTCCTATTTTGATTTTGGCATTCACTCTTCAGTTGTCAAAATGCCGTCCAAGCAAGAAGAGCAGCGTATCAAAATTTTGCTCGCGCATCGCGAAAATCCGAGCTACTCGCACGCAAAGTTGGCAAAATCGCTAAAAGTTGCCAAACCAACCGTTACAAATGTAATTAAAGTGTTTGGGGAACGTTTGTCGACAGCCAGGAAGTCTGGATCGGGGGGAAATCGAAAACCGGAAGCCGCTGAGACGACAAAGAAAGTTGCCGGTCGTTTCAAGCGAAACCTTAACCTCTCTCTCCGAGATGCCGCAAATAAGCTGGATGTATCGTCTACAACCGTGCATCGAGCCAAAAAACGAGCCGGACTATCGACTTACAAGAAGGTAGTGACTCCAAATCGCGATGATAAACAAAATACGACGGCCAAAGCGCGATCCCGGAGGCTGTACACGACGATGCTGACGAAGTTTGACTGCGTGGTAATGGACGACGAAACCTACGTCAAAGCCGACTACAAGCAGCTTCCGGGACAGGAGTTTTATACGGCAAAAGGAAGGGGAAAGGTAGCAGATGTTTTCAAGCACATGAAACTGTCAAAGTTCGCAAAGAAATATCTGGTTTGGCAAGCCATCTGTACCTGTGGCTTGAAAAGCAGCATTTTCATAGCTTCCGGGACTGTCAACCACGAAATTTACGTGAAAGAGTGTTTGAATAAACGTCTGCTGCCTTTCCTGAAGAAACACGGTTGTTCCGTACTGTTTTGGCCGGATTTGGCATCTTGCCATTACGGTAAAAAGGCCATGGAGTGGTACGCCGCCAACAACGTGCAGGTGGTTCCCAAGGACAAGAACCCTCCCAACACGCCAGAGCTCCGCCCAATTGAGAAATACTGGGCTATTGTCAAGCGGAACCTAAAGAAGACCAAAAAAACTGCTAAGGGCGAGCAGCAGTTCAAGGCAAACTGGCTTTCTGCGGTGAAGAAGGTGGACAAGGTGGCTGTACAAAATCTGATGGCAGGGGTCAAGCGTAAGGCCCGGCAATTCGGATTTGGAAAAGTGGAAGCCTAAATGAATATTTTTCCTGAATTTTATACTAATTGAACTTGAAAAAGAAATTTAATTTGATTTTTTAAATCAACGATTTCACCGATTTACACGCGTTTTCCCTTGACCAAATTTTGACCGTATCACCCTTTATGTCATGGGTGGGAACGGACATCTAGAAACTAATGGAAATTCATATATGTTTGCACTATATGAAAATCCAGTGAAACAAACCTGTTTTCGTGATGAATATTGCTCACTAAAAGATATAATTATCTTATATGACAGTCATGTATATTTTATTGGAGTTGCTTTTATCGATTTTTGACATTTATTGATATGTCGCGGGTGTAGAAACTATTAGACAGTCATTTAAGTTTGCACTATAGGAAAACATTTATATCGCATTGGAATAGCTTCCGACGAGTTTTGAAGTTTCTAGATTGTAGACAGATCCATCCCAATCATTATATAAATTTGCCTTTTAAGGAATCGAACAGCAAACATTTGTTTTGGCATGGTTTTTGCGATGAATATCGCTCCCAATAAAATACACATTATATGATTATTCTGCATAAATTTTCAACGATGTTATCGTACACTCATTGAACATGATTGTTAGTCGAACTAAATATTGCTTACAACAATAATACTCATAATCTTTACTTGTTATTGGCCCATAAGATAAGGGCGAGGATAAGGGGTTCCAGAAAAGAATGGATTGAGCTTAAAAAAAATCTACTGCAATATTTATTTAGCTAAAATTATAATTGCAAACCTTCTACATGGCTTATGCAGATTCCAGCACTAGTACTGGAGCTTCATGAACCAGTTCCATGAACTCATATAATGTGGTCATTGTGCAATAAAACAGGAAGCATTAATACAGATTAGAACAAACTCACTCTAGCAAAACGAGCACAACGTTGCACTACATTCCATGTCGGGAGAGTTGTTCTTACTTCATGCTAATTGAACGAGCTCAATCTCCAAGTGATCCATGGCCTAGTGGAACCGAGCGAAGACACCGACAGTATCCACACCTCAACAGTCCTGGATCGAATCCCAAATCAGCTACAATAAAATAAATAAAAACGCAACTGTGAGAGCACTCGAAGCACCAGCTCCCACTACCTGATGTTTATTTTTCGATTAATTTTTAGAACCGATAAAATATATGTGTCAAAATAAGAAGTAAATTTTATGTGATTTTCATATAAATATTAATTAGATTGATTTATGACATGTATATGATATTGTGGTGAAAAGTAAATCCATTTCAGTTAATTCTTATAAGTTGACCAATTTTCATTTATTATATGAGGATCATATAA